TACTTCATGTGTATGCTGTTGAATCACTCAGTGCAGACACTGCTCATGACTGATGCCACAGCATTTCACAAGCTCCACTTGCATCAGCCTTGAACATTTTCACTAGTAGAGCCAGCTCAGAATTATTATCTGCTACTTCTGAAGCAGCAACATCCCATATCAAAGTGTCTCAAGTCAAACTGGCTCTCTCAGAATCGCTGCTCCAAAGAAGCTGTGACTTTTCTGGATCAACCACACCTTTTCATCTGTAACTGCCAAAATGTTTAAAAATAGTTCTCAGGTACTTGTCCTCTATTAGGTAATTCCAATGGTTTGTGCTACTACTGTCATCATGTTACATCATTTGAATTTCATGTGTTGTTCTGAAAATAAGAGTTACACAACACTGTGCTCACCTATGTATTAATGTCTGATCCATTGTTTTAACTCTAGGATCCAAGTAACCAACATGGGCAGGCTCTGTTCCTATACTGGCGAAGTTCTAAATACTCTCAATTTGAAGAAAAATGACATTTCACCAGCTCCATTTTTACTATATAATTCTTATGTGACCTAATCCTTACCTTTACAACATTTAGTGCTAATGGCACAACAATACCAGAAAAACAAGTTACTACAGTCCCTGTATCATCTTGCAAAGGGCAACAAAACAAAGTATACAGAGAGGTAAGAAGGACAAAGAACTCCTCATGAAATAGTCTCCTATTTGTTTTCTAAAGACTTATCCTTAAATAAATCTGAGAATTAAAAAAAACAAAAACCACCATCCTGATAGACAAGTGAATTAATGAAAGCAGTGGCATTATAGTAACCAAGCAACCAGGATGTCTGAATTCTTAGCTTGCCTTTCTCAGAGTATGAGACATGAGTAAACTACTTTGATGAACCCCCTCATCCAACATGAACACCAAGCTTAACAGAAGGGTGTCCTTTGCAATGACCTTAACCGAATATAATATTCATAAAAAGCAGGCATCCAGACAGAGAAGGCACAACCAAATTTAGTACCCTCAAGGGAGAGAAAGACTGCTGTATGTTTGAGTGCCTGTATTAGACACCAGAGGATCCACATGGCTGAAAGCTGCTCTAAATATACTGACCACAAGAAAAAATTCAACACAGGCTCACATCTGATCAAACTCAGACAGCTAATGCCACAGGAAACAAGGCTTCACTGCTCACAGCTGGCTTAAAATTTTGGCTTACATTGGTCTGTCACTGGAAGGAACTTGAACTTACATGTAGACATAAATCTCCCAGTTCTATATTGATCAGGAGGCAGACACAGGATACCAGAGGGAATTCAGCTACCTGCAATATTTGCAACTAAGCATTTGAAAATTTCAGGATCACTTAAAACAGCTGCTTAGCCCTTCCAAAAATCCAACCAAGAACTCTAACATGAGTGTTTCCCTTCAAAATAGTCTGATGTGTCAACTGTCATCACCAACCAGGGCAGACAAGAAAAATGCAATTTTAAAAGGTGAAGTTGAAGAGTGATAGTATGTTTTCAAAGGTAAGAGGAATACAGTAACTACCCTATTTCACCCCATATCTAGACCCAACCTCTGAACCTCAAAGTACACTTTGTGTTGTTTTACTGACAAGTGATAGCGCTTGAAATAGGTCAGTCCATCACAAAATGATGAGAACTCTCCAATTAGCATAAGATCTTCGTTATCTTTATAGTCACCAATCATCACTTAAGACAAAAAAGCCTAAGAAGGATTACTGATTTTCCCAATCATTCAGCCACACAAAATGAATCTTCCAATCCAAGCAACATCCCAAACTCTCTGTCAGCCAACTACCGCTCTCATGATTTTCACAAAACGACCGTCTACATCAAGGTTCACCCCAAAACTTAAAAACATGGCAGGATCCATCATCCAATATCCTTTACCAAGAGATTTAACATTGCAATGAACTGAAAGCAGCTTTGGAAAGTCAAAATAACTTGAAAACATGTAAGTAGAGCATTTGCATTCATATATATGGAACAAATCTCAGCCTCAGTGCTGCCAGGAACACTGGCTAATGTTAAGCATCCTGGAGACTGGAAAAAGGTAAACAGCTGAGTCTCACTTCAGTCCCTAGAAAGACTATGGAGCAAAACACCATGGGACCCACCTACAGATGCTTGAAGAAGAAAAGGGTAAAGGGAAATGGCATGTGGCTATTGAGGACCAACCACACCTGACACATCTCATCTTTGAGATGATTGGCCCTGTGAATGAGGGCACAGCAGCTTGTTTTGACTTTTATCAAGGTCTCCCACAGTGTCCTTACAGCCAAACTGGAGGATTTTAGTTTGAAAAAGCTGACTGTAAACTGGGTGGAAAACCTACCTGACCAGCAGACTCCAAGGGCTGTGGTCAGCAGTCCCAAATCCATCTGGCTGGAACTAGTGATGCTCCCCAGGAGCTGACACCATGGCCAGTATTGTTTAATGTCTTCACTGGCAGCCTGGGCAAGGGGATGGGATGCACTTTGAGCCAGGGTAGGTACCAAACTGGAGAGGGCCATCCAGTGAGTTTTTGGGATCTCCAACCTTAGAGATAATGCCAACACAACCAGACACGGCTCTGAGTGACCTGACCTGGCCATGCTTTTCATAGGGTTGGACCAGAAGATCTCCAGAAGTCCCTTCAAAACAATATTGTTCTGTAACTACATTTGAGGTAAATAAAAACAAGTGGAAGAAGTTAAAAGGTTTTTGAAAACTGACATAGTGGTGGTATTTCCTTTCAAGTGAAAACAGGCCAGAAATTAATATTACAAATAAAGATGTCCAATTTTTGAACCAGTTTTTAAAAAGGCAAAAGGCCTTTTAAAGAAAAATCTCATTAAATGCCTTTTTCATATATTTTGCATGCTGATCAAATTAAATCTTTTGAGGCAACAGCAGATAACCTGTTAGTTCAAAGTTTGCAAGTAAATTATCTCTCAGACCAGAGACATCTGTCTCAATTTGTGACAGGAACTAATCTGGACTACACTGCCTTTCAGGAACTAAACCCACAGTATTTTCCTGACAGATGCCTATTCTCAAAGGCTGTGAAGGTTTCTGATAACACCCCAAGCAAAGCATCACCTTTCACTTTCCAAATGCTGCCTCATTTTCCTCACCAGCTCCTGAGAAGCAGCTCATTGAAGAAATACTATCAGCTACAGACTTAGCTTCATTTTTCATAGCTGCTACCTTCCTATTCCATTAAATTAATTCACTTTTCAACATTATAGACTACAACAGAAATATCTGCAAAAAACCTTGCTGTAAGTACTGCTGTGGTACAAATCACTGTAATACCTGAGTCTCAATAAATAAAGTCTTCTCAAAAACACAGTTCAAAATCATCCGCCTCACTTTCGCCTTGATCTATCTCATTCTGTCTACAAGAATGGTTCAAAAAATAAGCACCCATAAAGCTTTGGTGCTTTGACCAGCACCTATGGTAGATAACCACATTATTTTTATGATTAGCACAAACAGACCATAGGTACCCCATTTTGTTATTGTTACTGCTACGGGAACATCATCCTCTTGGTTTCTATTCCAGTGACAGCTACAACTCAGCCAGGAATACATCTTGTACCCCAGATCCTGTACAGATGGAGAAGAAAAAAAGTAAATGCAATTCCCTCAGGATAGTAATTAAAAGGATAAGCATATTCACTTGATCTAATTTAGGCATCTGAGTTAGGAGGCTAATCTAACAAAAAATTCTGTTCAACAGAGAGCACAGAGCAGCCTAAATCCATGTCTGCAGGCATCACACAGCTCTCTTCACATCACAGGGAGCCCAGAGTCTGAGTTAGGGTTTCTCTGAATACTCAGAGGTACGGCGGTGTGAATGCCCCTCCCAGATGAGTCAGAACAAAAAAATACACACAAACAAAACAGGGGAGGTAGAGTGGAAACAAGGTAACAAAAATGAAGAGAGGTTTGGGAACAGAACGAAGCCCGGGTAGCTGCTTATCCAACTAGTTCCTAGCGCTCATTACTTCTACGTGTCACCATAGCATCAGCGGATACAGATGTTTGTTACAAGCAAATTTCAGATGAATGATTAAGAGTTCTTGATAGCAAGCAGCATTTATGCACCACCGATGTTACCCACACCACATTCCGCTTCGCACACCCCCGAGCCTTGCTGGGCGCACTCCGCCGGGGGAGCTGCGGCCGCCACAGGCCAGCACCAACAGCAAACGAGCTAAAAACCATCATTTTCCCAAAAGAGCCACGCACAAGATAGGGCAGCCGGGACACAAGGGCAAAGAAGCTTAAGATTTCTCATTCCCCTGTTTTAGATGGGGATTTTCCGACTGATGTTTCAGAGAACCGCTGCAAGAATAACTTCAAAGAACGCAGACACTATCTCAAAGCACGAAGTACTTTCGAGTTCTGCAATGTGACAGATGTCAAAGCCCCAACTGCCCCGAAAACCATTTACTGTTTTCAAAATGGTACCTTAATAATTCGGAAACCGAATCACGTACCTCAGACTCATTTTATTCTCTGAATTACGACATGCCGCGGTCAGAAGTCGAGACCGAGAAAAGCCAGTCTATTTACAAACCGAACAGTTTGCAAACTTTAACTGCAGAAACCAGCTCGGCTTCTCCAAAACTCCGCGTTTTCACAGTTAACCAGACGGAATAAAATCACCGTCACCACAAGGAACTGGGCTCCACAAACGCGTCCGAGTCACCTCACCTCGGCACGGCGCTCCCCCGGGCGCTCCGGGAGCTGTCTGGGCACGGGCACCGGGATCGCTCCGCTCGCAGCGCGCTGAGGGAGTGAGGGAGCGCGGGCGAGCAGCGGCAGAGCCGGCAGTGGGAGCCACCGCCGCCAAAACCCCAGACAACACCCCCACCCAAAAAAAAAAAAAAAAAAAAAAAAAAAAGAGGCACAGACTCAGCTAAGGAATAAAATACAAGTAGAGCGGCTCAAGGCGGTGGAGCCCTCAGCGCTCCCGCGCCCCCCGTCCCACCGGTACCTGTTGCGCTGCCCCGAGCGGCGGCTCCGCCGGGCCGCGGCCCCTGCGCCTCCCGCGGCGCTCGGCCCCACAACATGGCGGCGGGGGCGGGGGAGGAAGCGGGGGCGGGCGCTGCCCGAGGCCGGGCTACGCCGCAGCCGGGACGGGGATCTCGGAGCCCCATGGAGGGGTTGCTGTGCCTTGAGTGCAGCCCCCGGGTCTGGGCCGGGCTCGCCAAACAGTGTCGCGGTCCGGGGATGTCGGCACCGAGCCTGTCGGTACCCTTGCTATACGGTAACAGCTACTGCTTCAAGACCTGACTGACAGAGGATTTACCCCGTGCTTGCTCTCCTCTCTCACACTCGATTCCACCCGCTGCCTCCTCATCTTCTCCATAGGTTACCTTTGCTTTAGCTTTCCGCCTGCATCCCAGTGCTGTCTCTACTAGAAGCTGAAAAGCCGTGGCCTCTGTTCTGCACAGGCAAAGCTCCCAGATTAAGATCATTCTCCCACCTGGCAGCAGGTAACAGCGCCCTTGGTGCTTGCCCGTGGGAAGCGTGTCCCGCTGGGACCCCGCAGCAGCGCGGAGGGGCTGGCACCAGCAGCTAAACTGGGCTCACGCCGGCACTGCTCGGGGACTGAAACACCTAGGGTTTCAGGGGTTTATCTTTCCAAAAATTAAAGAATCCTGTAGGAAGGCAACACGTAGAAAATGCCATAATTTTTAACCACCAAACGTTTTCCTTGTCCAGCAATGGGATCTCGCTGTGCACACTTTTACAGCGCCTTCCTGCTATGCTTTTGCTGGGTAGATAATTACCTATCACCTTCGTACAGCCCAGATTTTTCCACTGACTCATTCTTCTGGGTTCCTAATGAGCCTTTCCAGTTGGTTACACCTTTTATCATCCACGGTGATTCCAGAAGAGTCACGTTCCTGTGCCATGCAATGGCTATGGCCACATCCTAGCACTTACCGTGGCAGGATTTGTGCTCACACACCTGGTGTCTGCATTTGCTGTTGCAGCTGCCACATTGCACTGGCAGCATTCGTGCATTTACCCCTTGTGACCTTCTCAGCCCTCATCTGATTCACTGCTTTTGAAGATACAGCATTCTCCTCCCTCACACCCAGCCCAAAAACATGCTTTGTATTTTTATCCTATGAACAGACAGCAACTTCGGCTTTGATGCACAGATATTTGCTGTGTAGGTGGATTAAAACATGTGTTATTCAAGGGGCCCAGGTGGCCTTGGGCTGTTTTGAAGTCATCTGCAGATTTCATAAGCAGTGCTTCATATAATTCCAAATAATTATTTGGTATAACAAAGCAGCCCTGGGTCAAGAACAGGCTACTCTGAAGCCCAATTAAAAAGTCTCATCTGACATTTTTCACTTGAATTACTTTATAGCACCTCTTAATACACAGCCTTTAATCTGTTTAGTACACATTATAGTGATACAGTTCTAAATATGACTTTGTTGTGTTGGCAACACCTCCAGCCTGCTCTGGACTGAAGACAAGTGCTTGCACCAGGCATAACAGTTTAAGGAAACACCATTGTAGAGAGGATTAAGATAACAATAAACCAGATAAACACATTTTTTCTCGTAAGACAAAATCAATCATGTTACTGATTACAGTAGTTAAGGATTGGGAAGGGCAGTGTAAAAATCTGTGAAGGAAAGTCTCTAAGAATAGGTTAGGCAGATGTTGGAGGAGTTTGGTAAATAAGTTGATCGTGCCCTGAACATTGAACTAGGTGTCTTTTCAAAGAACCTCACAGTTCCTTTCTTTCCTTTCTTCTGTAATTGGTGTTACTGCCACGTCCCACACGCAAATGAACTTGGGCCATGTCTGTGCTTAACCACTGGCTTAGAGGTGACAAAGTACATGAAGCAGGAATTACATAAAGGATGTTGGGATATTTGATTCTGTAAATAGGACAGATGGGGAATGACCCCTCTGCTTTATTAAATGTGAGATCCCTATAGGAAAGCAGCAATGTACCTCAGTTTGGGTAACTACACACCTTGCCTAATACCTCTTTTGAGACAAAACTGAAGCCAGGAAAGTCAAAGAATGGTAGCATAGTTTGAGTTGGAAAGGACCTTTAATGGTTGTCTAGTCCAACCCCCCTGCAATAAGCAGAGGTATATTCAACTAGATCAGGTTGCTCTGAGCCCTGTGCAACATGGTCTTGAATGTTTGCAGAGATGGAGCATCAACGACCTCCCTGACAGTGTTGAACCTCCGTCATTGTAAAAAAACATCCTTCCTTATATCTAATCTAAATCAACCCTCTTTCAGTTTAAAACCATTACCCCTTCTCCCACTGAAACAGGCCCACTGAAAATACCTCTTCCCATCTCTCTCTCAGACCCCTTTAAGTACAGAAAGGCCACAATAAGGTCTCCCTGGAGCCTTTTCTTCTTTGGGATGAACAATCTCAACTCACTCAACCTTGCTTCATGCCAGAGGTGCTCCAGCCCTCTGAGCATCTTCGTGGTCCGAACTGGACCCACTCTAACAGGACCACATCTTTGTTGTGCTAAACACCCCAGAGCTGGACACGCAGTGGGGTCTTACAATCACCTCTTTTGACCTGTTGCCTGGGGAGGAGGAGTTGTAGGGAATTAAAAATTCAGCTGACTCCCTAGCAAGATAACCTGGTATAAAAAATTAGCACATCAAAGCTTTATGTGTTCTGATTCTACACAAATTCAATGCATCTGTGTTATCACAATGAACTGGAGCTGATCAGAGATACTGGAAGAATAAATATCTGTAAGATTAGTTAATTATCAGGAAGAGGAGGAAGACTCACAATCTGTAGTGCAGACACATTTGAATGCAGCAGCCCCTCAAGTCACTCTTCCTTGGAAATAGAGTATGTAGACATACAATGTTTAGTCTCAGCTATAAAAAAATGCATCCTTGAAGTAAAGCTGAACTCTTACTCAACCTAAGAGTCTTACGGAGATGTTTTGTTAGTAATGTCCAAGGCACAAACTAGTATTACATCTTTAAAATGGAGAATGAAATTTGTTTCCACTCAGAGTTTGACTACTGCTTGAAGCAAGTTCAAAAGAAAAACACTACTTTTATGAAGGTAGAGTTTCTACAGGCACTGTTACAGATACTGCCTTTGGGCATCTCAGGGTTTGGAAAGAGTGCTTTTTACAAGCTTCAACGTGTTTTTGGGGGCTGATGTCAAATACCAGGTGAAATAAAAGTCCCTTCTGGTGACAGTAACCTTCTAGCAATGAGTAGACAGTGGCAAAGAAACTTAAAACTGCAGGAATTAATTAGTTTGTTCCAAAAAGCCATTAAAATGAGAGAAATTGCTTAATAATAACTGATAGTAGAAAAGGGAGCTGAAAGGAGGAGAAACCAAAGGCATGATAAGATAGAGGCTCGATCCAGACACAGGGGCAAGGTTGCAGCACAACAGCTACTCAGAGGAGACCAATTAAGATGAAAAGTGTGGGAGGAGCAGAAAAGAAGTAGGATTTACTATAAGCAATGTTTCATCCCCTAGGATTGTTATGGAATCATTTATTATCCTAGGCTTCTAGTGGGAGGTGTCGCTGCCTGTGGCTGGGAGATTGGAACTAGGTGATCTTTAAGGTCAAACTCAATCCATCCTATGGTTCTATCATCTCCTTGTCATGTCTGAGCCAAAACCTGCACACAACAGCAAAACCTAACAAGATGTAATGAAGATGGAGAAACTATTCCTATTACTAGCAACTCAATTTTCACATTAAGACTTTACTTTTTGATCATTCTGTACTCTGTCTCAGTTTCCTGTTACAAGCAATTTTCCTATCTTTAGAGTAATAAGGAAAGATCTCCACTGACAGCAAAAAAAATCACAAATAAAATTGCTTAGCCTGAGCTGAGTGACAAAAGGTAACATGACTTTCTTCTCTGCTCTTAGTTTACCCCATAATATTACTTTTTTCCTCTGCTCTGCTGCAGGAAAACACACCAGAAGTGGACGTTTTATTCTCCCTGTCCAAGCCCTCTGACCAGGTAGTGTCTAAGCTTCATGACAGACATCTTCCTGTAAATGTGTATTTAAAATACATAAAGCTAAACCAGGACCAAATGTACACCAGAGATCAGTTACTGCAAGAATAAGCCAAGCTTTGTGCACAGTTACTGGTCAGAGATCAAGGGACGTAAAGTGACAACTATTTCTGAGTGGTCAAAAAGCAGTAATTGCTCAATAGCTACCTGCACATATTCCTCCTGCAGTGACCTGTTTAATTTTGCTTCCTAGTGAGTGGCATTTCCTCTTCTGGAGAGTCCAGCTTGTTGTCCCAGCTATAAAGAACTACTTAGGGACAGCCACACCTACCTGATGAGTGACAGCTCGGACCCCTTTATTAGATTCAATTCTCTTATTCATGCTACATTTTCTTTTCCACCTCTTCTTTTTTCTCTCCAGCAAAGACATAAGCAATGAGCCCTCACTCAGTGCTGCTGGAGGTTCCATATTTACAGCAGTGCCAATTGCTTTCCTCCTTTTGAGTAAATGCTAGATACTGTCTTTTAACCCACATCTTTATTTAAAAATGGAGGTATAAAACAGAACGGGATAAACAAAAGGACAGGTTAATATTTGCTTTCCACACCTAACAGAATAAGAGTGGTGCATTTCTGATATAGATTCTGAGTAACAATTTATCAAAAAGGCGTAGAAGGCACAAAGCACACATTGCATCAAAAATAGAACTTCTAGAGATGTTGGTTTGGTTTCTGAACCAGAAGCCCACACAGGTTTTAAAATAACAAATGGCTACTGTATTCATTTTGCAGGATTTTCTATTACTTCATAGCTGTATGAAATAAAATATTCATGTCCCAACTTTGTTCCCTGCCAAGCACAGATATTATTTAGTAGTGGATGGGGAGCTGGACTGTATTTATTCAGTGTGGCAGAGGCTTCTTTGCCTACTGCACTGAAATGATTTTGAGATTTACAGAACATCTATGTAACCATAGAGAAAGCAGCTTTCCAGACAGGCCAGCCCATGTTGTGAAGGGAGGCAGTGCTGACTCATGCAGACTGAATTATTGCAAATAAAACTTTGCCAACTGCTGAGCAGACACAAGGGTTTTACTTGCTATGCCTAGCTGCAGTGCAGGCGGGCAGAAACGCTCAAGCACACAGGAATTTCACAAGTGCCAAGTGCTGACAATAGCAGAGTAATGGGGTTAAGCAAGGTTATTTGTTGCAATTTTACAATCCTTATGCCACAACTAGTAAATAACATTTCGGTAAGACAGAGTTGCAGGTTCATTTCAGACACATTTGTTTCTCTGCACTCAAGTTTTGATGAAGCCATGAAGACACTCTGATCCCAATATGCTGGGATCCCTACTGCATCTGTTACAAATGTGAGGTTTTTTCCCCAAATATTTCACTTTTAGGTGCTAAAAACCTGTTATTTCATACATACTGTTGGGTTCTGAGGACCAGTACTACTTTTGAGTAGTGTACCTCTTGTGTACTGAATTTTGTGAGGTTCTGTGGATTACACGTTGCTTTTAAGGGATGAATAACATAAATATTGTGGAAAATTAGAAATAAATCTTCTTAGATTTCAGGATGTTTTGTGAGTTGCTGTGAAAACAAAATTTTTTCAGATTCACGGATTTCTGGAAAGACGCAGGCATGCTATCAAACAAGTACATACTATGATAAAGATAGGCAAAACAGTGTAAACAGTAAAGTGAGTTTATGATTAACAACATCATTAATAAAAGCAGGGATTCATTGAAAGGGCAAAGAAATCACTGTGGTTTTAAGGTGGCTTATGGAAGTCTACACAAAAGCTCTGTGTTGATGGGACACAGAAATTTCCCCTGACTGTGGCTCTTGCTTGCCTGGTGTAACGCTGAGTTTGAGGTGCTGCTGCCCCCATCTGCCCGACATCCTGCTGGACTTTCCCATTAAAAACGGAAGCAAAGGCAAATTCTTCCACCAGATGCAAGTAATAAGGTTGTGCTGTACTTCAAATCAGTGGCAGAGTTGTTGCATTCAGGGGGTTAGATGTAATTTTGTAGTCTTTCCCCAAAACAGAATTGACCTCTTAGGTTTATGAGTTTTTTTGCAGTTGAAAGTTGTTTTTGACCAGAGGTAAGTCTGTCAGAGCAAGTCATTTTGTAACTCAAATTGACATTAAAGTTTAACAGAGTTCAAGCCAGAGCTGAAATCAATGGGGTGTGAAAAGAGATCATACTGTCGGCCATTAATGCTTCACTTGAATTTTCATGCAAGGTTTGTCTTGCTTTTATCCTGCTTCTTGCTTTGGAAAGGGAAATCTATAACAATTTGCAGATCTACTTCACTGATCTACTCCAAGTCTTTCTGAAGATTCATTTCCCAGAGGAGTTTTGGCTGCAGAGTCGCTAAAACACTTAAGAACAAAAGATTCTAATATTTGTCACCAATAAATCCTCACCTGTCTGTTAAGTTTAACCTTCATGGCTAAATAGTTTAAGGCAAAATTATCCTTTTGTTCTGTGTCAGCAGTGTCAGGAAAAGGGCTTTTACTGCCTAACAAGATAAATCCATTGGCACTTGGCATTGGCAGTCCTTCCAAGAAATACTATGCTGTTGCTGAGGCTGAATTTGCTTTTCCTCTTCTGAAGTGGGGTCATCATGGATTGGATGCCACTGCCTAGATCAGTATCTTGGCACTTAGTGAGCATGTTAACTGGAGCCACAACTGCAAACACGGCAGTTTCAACCTGCTGGAAAGACAAAGAGTACAAGGGTCGTGTCCCCTCCTTCTGCCATGCTGAAGTCCTGGCCCATTTTTTCTTACAAGGAGCCAGCTCGGTCCTGCCTGAGTGGTGCTCACTAGACTGATAGGATTTAAAGTCAGATTAAAAAAAAACACTTAAATACAGAGTCACAGCCAGGCAAAGAAGGTCTGTCATTATTATAAAGATGTTAAAGGTTCCTGATAAAACTCCCATCTTGGCTTGGCATGATGATCAGTCCTGGAGTGGTAAATGAGAAACAGGAAACTTATGGGCATTATTCCAGGTAAATCTATATCTGCAAACTTTGCTTTGCCCAGGTTGGCAATGGAACAACCCAATACACCTGTGCATCCCCAGACTATTCTTGACTTCACCCTTCAGTCAGAGAAACTACCCAGGGAAAGTCCATATTAATTCCACAGCAATAAGGCAGTTTTGAATCAGAGCCTGCAATAAGTCAATTTAAACACAAATCCATGGACAGGTTTAATTTCAGCATTTCCATAAGTACTTATTTTCCACCAGACCCCCATCCTTTTTCAGTGCGGAAAATGAATAATGCTGCAAGGTGAATTGTGCTTCCTGAATTGTTAAAGATTTTATAATCTTCCTTATTCACTAAGTAGCCTTGGGTTTTATTTAATAATCATTTAGAAGCAGTGCTGAATAGAAATATATTTGAGTTGATTTTCTCTTGTGTTTTTATGTTATTCTTACTGTAACTGGTGCTTCACAAATGCAGCTTTTTCTTCACAAGATTCCTGAGGCAAGTTAGTATTAGTATCCTCATCTTACAGATGAAGAACAGAAAGGTGGAGCAATTTGAGCATGAACATTTCAAACATTTGCTATTCTTGGATGCTTTTCTTGGGACACAAAGGCTTACTTGGACTTGCTCTGCCCGGTTTCATTTGGAGTGGGATGCACTTTCTTTCCACAGAGCAAATCACACACAGCTCAAGTCAGCACAGCAGAAATCAAAGGCTGATACAAGCTACAGTGCAACTCCTCTCCAAGCAAACCAATTTGTCATCACTTGTCACATTCCCACCTTCCTTCTGTTCCCAGCCATATGTTCCCCTCCCCTTCCACCAGCACTGCCACCTGCCTGGCTCCTTCTGTGAGCTCAGCCTGAGGAAAGGGAAAAAAAATGCGTGATTACTTTTTGACAACAAGCTACAGAGTCAGTTTTACATTTATAATAATGATATATTATATATGATATCCTATAATGCTTGTGTTGGAGGGACCTTAAAGATCATCTAATTCCAACACACCTTCCATAGGCAGGACACCTTCCACTAGACAGGTTGCTCAGAGCTCCCTCCAACCTGGCCTTAAAATTGTATTTATTTTAGTGTGTGGTACTACTAATTCTAAATCAGCTATTTTATTTATGTGTAGTTAGGCATTAGCAATTAAATTTCAAATTATTCATTTACTAATACACAGCAATCACAAAAATTTATAAATATTCATTAATAGTTATCGCCATATAACTGAAATACAACTTTTGCATATTGAAATAATATATTATCATATATTATTTATAAATGATATTTTATAATGTCAGAACTCCATAAGCTTTCGATGGTACTGCAGAGAAGGGCGAGCACCCACCCAGCACAGCAGCCCTGCACTGAGGGGCTCACTTTGTCAAAGAAGTTATATTTTTAGGCATCAGTGAATCACCACAAAACGCCTTTTACGGTTTTTTACACCTTTCCCTTTTGCCCCTCCATCCCTCCGTCCCTCCCAAGCTCCCGCCCACCCGCGGGCGGGGCGCGTCGGGGTCGCCGCGCGTGCGCGCCGGGCCGCACGTTGGGACCGCGGTGGGCCCCGGCAGCGATTCCCGGAGCGATTCCTGGCTGCGATGTTCCGCCGTCCTCCGCGCAACTTCCGCGGCCGGCGGCGCGCAGCCTCCAGCGGCAGCAGTGAAGGCGAACCGGAGCCGGAGCCGCAGCCCCAGCCCGAGCCGGAGCCGGCCGCAGCCCCGTCCCCGGACTCCGGCGCCAGCTCGCCCTCGGAGCGGGAAGCGGAGCCTCCGGAGGCCGAGGGCGATCCCGGCGCGGAGGGGCCGCTGCCCTCGGAGGAGCCGGCCCGCAGCCCCCGCGGCCGGGCGCGCAGAGCCGGGGCGGGCACGGGCCCGGGGCAGCGCCGAGCCGCGGGCGCAGCGGGGCCGGGCCGGGCCGGGAAGGAGCTGCTGAGCTTCGGCGGCGAGGAGGAGCGGGAAGGTGAGGAGGGATCGAGTGTGTGTGACCGCAGAGCACGGCCGGGGCTGCGGGAGCGGAGGGGCTCTGCCTTGGGCTGCCGCCTCAGCGAGCCCCGCGCTGGGCGCCCTCCTGCCTCTCGCTGTAACACACCCAGCCTGCTGTGTCAGGGGAAGGGCTCTCGGGAGGGTCTGCACGGTAACCCGTACTAAAACATGGGCTGGGCCTGGTTAGTCTGGAGAAGACAGAGAGCTGGTCTCAAAAGTCGAGATATCTGCATATCTCGAACGCGAGTGCAAGAGAATCGTGCCGAACTCCCTTCGGTGATGCCTAGCAATAGCATGAGGAGCAATGGCCATAAACTAAAACACAGTAAGTTCTACCTCAGCATGAGGAAGAACTTTTTTACATCAAGGGTGGCAGAGCATTGGAACAGCTGCCGAGGGTGGGCATGGAGTCTCCCTCTCTGGAGACATTCCAAACCCACCTGGACACATTCCTGTCTCACCTGTTCCAGCTGGTCCTGCCCTGGCAGGGGGGTTGGCCAAGGTGATATCCAGAGGTCCCTTTCAACCCTGACAATTCTGTGATTCTGTGAAAAGTACTTTGGCAATGATGCCTAGCAATAGCATGAGGAGCAATGGCCATAAACTAAAACACAGTAAGTTCTACCTCAGCATGAGGAAGAACTTTTTTACATCAAGGGTGGCAGAGCATTGGAACAGCTGCCGAGGGTGGGCATGGAGTCTCCCTCTCTGGAGTCATTCCAAACCCACCTGGACACATTCCTGTCTCACCTGTTCCAGCTGGTCCTGCCCTGGCAGGGGGGTTGGCCAAGGTGATATCCAGAGGTCCCTTTCAACCCTGACAATTCTGTGATTCTGTGAAAAGTACTTTGGCAATTATTTACATCCACGTTCTTTCAGCTGGAAAGCATCTGAAATCTTAGAACTGGAGAAAACCAGAGAGAACAAGTACTGTGTGGTTCTGTGACTGAAGAAGCTTATGATGAACAAGCTTAAATGAATGAAAGTTGAATGTTTAACTGACCCTTCTGGGCTGTTACTCTTGTGGCTGATGAGAAGACATAGCTGCCTTGGTGGGGACAAGCTACAGAGAGACCCTGCATTTCAGCAGTGCAGTGTTGCTGTGTAGAGAAGGCTGAGATGCAGTTTTTACCTAAGAGGTGATCAGTCATGAGTGATAAACATTGTAATGTTTATAATTAATTGAGCCAGAACTGAAAGACTGGACGTAGCCCTTAGTGCCATGGCCTTGTTGACATGTTGGTGTTTGGTCATAGTTTGGACTTGATCTCAGAGGAACTTTCCAACCTAATTGATTCTGTGATTCAGAAGTTATGCTGTGCACATGTAGAGTTTACCTGCACTTTTGTATGCAGTACATTCATATATATGTGTGTACGTTGTTGGCTTTATGAATGTTACTCAGAATCACTTTGTTTTGTTTGGTAGGCGAAGAGTTTTTTAAAGTTAAAAAGCCATCCTTCAACGAAGTAACCTTTAGAATTAAAAAGAAGGAAAGCTTACTGCCTTCACAGACAGAAGCTGAAGAAAGCAAAAGTAAGTACTTTTTTAGTTAAATATTTTACGAAAAAAGTGAAGAGTGATGTAAAAATACTGCTGTTATATGTTTTTTGCTTGCTAATTGAACCCAGAATTATACTTGCAATGCTAGTTTACAGGTTTATAATTGTAATGTATTTGTGCTGAAATGATTTTCAGTTTGACCTTGGTGAAAGATTATCAGAACTTGGAGGCTGTTCTTGAGAAAACCTGATTATGCAGAACCATGTACTACCTCAAAGTTAACAAAGTTTTGCTAAGTTTATACCTCAGCATCATATCTTTCAAACTATGGGCCAGGTATCCACTGCTTGTTGCTGTCAGATTGTAATTTGATCTGAGTATTGAATGTGAGCTAGCATTTTGTCTGATGAAACTTAATGTAAGGATTTTTAAATTACATGCTCTTACAGCATTTAAATGTTTTAACTGAATTCAGTCAATAGCCTTGAGTATTCCGGTAGTATCCCTAGTTTCATTGAAATACAGTCAGTTGCCCAGAGAGGCTGGGCTCCCCATCCCTGGAAGTGTTCAAGGCCAGGTTGGATGGGGCTGTGAGCACCTGGTCTAGTGGAAGATGTCCCTGCCCATGGCAGGGGAATTGGAACCAGATGATCTTTAAGGTGCCTTCCAACCCAAACCATTCTGTGGTAAGTTTACTATTGGAATATTTGGAGTTTGTGTGTTTTAGAAACAAATGCATCTAAAAGTTCTCTTTATGTATTCCCCTTTAGATACCTCTGTCAATTCACAGATATACCATATTTGCTAATGTTAGATAAAAGTAAATTAGGTTGAGATTGGGCAATAATTCCCTTTGAGGTTGTGATTCAGCTGAGATAGTGAATTTTCTTAGTAGCTTCTTATAAAAGCATATCATATTCGTGTAAAAGGTGGTACATTCTGGTGTTCAGTAATCTTATGATTTACTGAAAGTGTAGTGGCAGATGAAGAGAAATCAATGTTTTTAAAGAATATGATAATAACTGGAGATAGATATAAATGTTTAGAGTTTAACTAAGAGCTCTCTCATTGATAATGCTTTAAAAAAAGTGCTTTGTAAATGCAGTTTTTCAAGTCAAGAATCCAAATATGCTGTGAGCAATCAGAATATTAATTAGTTGTTATCTGACAGCTGATCTCACTGCTTTTGTGCATGTAAATACACTCTGTGTCTCAGAGGGACTCGTAGCCTTTCTATGGGAAGCATCATCAAAGATGCTTTTATTCAGTACAAGAATTGGCTTGGAAGTGACTGTCTTGGAATGTTACAGTTTGGCATGTTTTGGTGAGAACAGGTGGAGATAGACAAGTGATCAGTCTTTGCTGCAGCAAGGTGTAAATAATTTCTGGTAACCAGTTAAGGCACATCATATTCCAGCAGCTGAAACTGAAATAATGGATTGTACTTTTTTCCCTTATAATGAAGAAATCTGTCAGTTGGAGCCTGGAGGTGGCAACACCAAAGATACTTGTAAAGAGGATGAGGACAATGAGGATGAAACTTATTCTTCACTGAATGAAGATTACAACAGCTCAGACTCTGAAAATGAATCCAGCTCTCCACAGAGGAGGGAGGATTTATCACCAGGTTAGTTCCCTGGCTTTTTTTTTTTTTTCAAGAAAGCTATTTTAGAACATTTTGTGTTTGAAGTACATAACAAGTTAGGTGAGATGAGTTCCACCCAGCTTAAACCACCTAAGGTATGGGCATCTGTTTATCCTGAGTGAGGGCAAGCCTCTTGTAAGAATAGTGGTTCCCCCACATTTTCAGTTGCAAAGATTTGTTGTCTTTCTGTGCTAATTTTGGGAATGGAGCAGAAATTGTAAGCACTGGTTATAGAAGAAAGACAGCAGAAAATTTTTCTTTAGTGATGCACACTAAAATAAAATGCGGTGAAAATAAAATCTCACTTTGAGGCTGAGAGCCACTTTTTCATCTCCTTATAGTCTACATGGCAACCATTGTAGAAAACCATCTTGTGTTCTGTATCCAGAGTTGTACAGTGGTGCTGAACAGTTGTGGTGGTTGGCATTAGATACAGAGTGTTGCTTTTAGACTTTTCCTTAGATTTTCTCTCTCTTTGATGCAGGCAATATCCCCAGTGCAGCTCACGTTGAGGCTGCTCGGAGGAAGCGTCACTTAGCCAGGACAGAGGCTGATTATCTTGCCCTGGATGTTTCAAACAGTCCTCAGGTCCCTCAGAGAAGAGGAAGCAGTGATTTGGACAGTGAAGATGAGTCTGAAGCAAAGAATCTCGATTTTGCTCCTAAAATGAGAACTCTTAGGCAGAGGATGACTGAAGACATGGGTGAGTTTGTGGTGTTTCTCCCAGAGGCTTTGTTTTAGTCTCTGAAGCCATGGGGGACTTGTCCAGTAAGGAGTGAGGCTTTGCTCCTCAGGGCTCTTGGAAGAAGGCTGTGCAGTTGGTACTTGAGGTTTATTTATTTGGGTCATAAACCTGGTTTAGGTCTCACTTGTGGTGGTGCAGGATACTTTGAGAAATGTTTACAAAATTATTTTTGGCCTTGTTGACTGCAAAAACAGAGCCTTGTAAGAGGCACATTTACTGTGAATAAAGTTACTGTAAGTCCTGCCTCCTGCTTCTAGTCTGCTCTTCTAAGTGCTCTTCCCACACTGACATTATAAATTCAAAAAATGAAAAACAAACAAGCAAACCATCATTCCAGCCCTTCAGAAGTAAACAAACATACTGCATGCAAAACATAACTGGCTTTTCCATTGTTTTTATTCCATTAGAGCTGCTTATAGTGTTTATGAAGCACAGGTTTTCTTAAATATATGAATAAGGGCTATAAGGAATGCATATCTATGAGCAGAATCTGCCATTCAGATTAATGCTGATGAGATGTTTTTGTATCTGTAGTTGAGTGTATGTTCTGGAATGCTCAAGGGTTTGTTGGGTGTCATGTCTTGGTCTATACTTATACTCTAGTTTACATGTATTTTGCATGTAAACTTTGTTTTGAGAAATAAAACCAAGGTGTTTGTGTGCCTCCTACTGCAGCAGTAGTTGTCTGAGAAACAGTTGGGGAAATCAATGCTAGTGTGACTCCTACAAATCCCAGTAGCCTTTTCCAAGCCTTCCTTGCCTTTCAGTTTTGCAGTTCTCCATCTGCAGGTTTTTCATCTGCTTTTTTGTGTATCACTTCTCAGTATTGGCTGGGAGACCTATTGTTGCTTTAGATGGAGGGTAAAAAATACAGGGTGTAAATAAACATCTAATAACAGTTGTTTTACCTTCCAGTGTCTCTGGGTGATGCATCAAGTGACGATGAAGCCAAGTGGGAAGAACAGCAAATAAAGAAAGCTGTTAAACTCTCTCAGGTGACACATGGTTTCCTAACCATTGGAAGTTGCTTTTTGCTTATAGGCAAGAGAGCTTGTCTGGACTATTGTTGTATCTCTGTCCTTCCCTCTCATTAGGGAAAATTTTAGGAAGTTATTCCCTAATTCTTCAGGGAAAGATGATTAGAAATATGGGAAGGTAATGAAAATCTGTCTGGCTGTTGAGAAGCAGGGTGGTGGTTTCAGCCCCAAAGGCAGATACCTGTTGTGATAAGAGATCACAAGAAGCAGAGAAGAAAATTCTGAGCTCTGATTTTTTTGCTGCTGTGCAAGGGATGTTGAGAGCAAGACTATGCAAATAATACAAATATTGCAAAGCAAAAACTATTATTTTATTCTGCTAAATTTCTGTTGAGTGGCAATCTGAGGGCTCTCTTCACAGTTCAGCAGAATGCTGACTTCTTCTCAGTAAGTATTTGGCAAAAACAAACTATATTCTGATGTGCTGGAAGTTCTGGCTTTGATCACGTACTCTGGATCAGACTTAAGAGTATCTGAATAACCAGTCTTCATTGAAGTCAGAATTGACAATTGTAGAAATTTTTCCAATTTGGGGAGTAAAAGAATGAGAGAAAGTTACATCTTTCTGAGTCTGGTGTTCAAATCCAGTATGATCTTAGGTCCTCATACTCCACTTGCTTATGGAAAAGTTAATTCTGCTTGTCAGGAAACAGCAGCAATTTATAGCCAGAGACCTTGTTAGTTATAGATTTAATGCTTGAATTGATTGGGTTGAATTGATTGGTATAGATTTTTTTGTGATTGAAATATTTATCTTTGTATCTGATGTCTAGTATTCAAATGATATGTCTTGTTGATCTGTAGAGTTGCAAAGGGAGAAATTGTGTAAATGGTGTATTAAAAATTGACACTCAATTTTTGTAGGAAATTTGTGATGATGCTTCTGTGCGTAAATATCAGCCAACCAAACCCAAGTTTGATACCTCTGTTTCTCTACCACCTGTGAATTTGGAAATTGTGAAGAAGAGACTGACTGAAAGGTAACTCCTAAACTTACTAGTTGTCTGAGTTTTTGTCACAGAATTAGGCAACAGCTTTGAAGTCTTACTCTTTTTTTCCAGAGTGTTGAGCTTTATTTGGGTTGTTACCAAGAGTAATGGTGTCTAATGGAGTACTACAGATTTTTTACTTTATGTGGCAGTGCTTGTTTCAGGGGAGTGTTTGGACTTTCCAAGAGTTTCTGTCAACTGGAACTTTAGAAAATAAATTAATTTATTTGGCAGCAGCTTTTTATGGTCATTGGAAGTTCTAGGCAGAAGCCTTGGCTTGATGTTACGTTTGTCCAGCAAGCAGAACTTCATTGTGGGCAGGTGGAGCTGGCACTCCCAATCCTTCTTCTTATACTACTTCTTCTGGTAGTTCTTATACCAGCTGCAAAAATAGCTCAGTATTTCCTAAAGCAGCCCAACTTCTCTACAGCCTGTTCAGAACATGCCTGGATCTTTTTCTCTAGTTGTGTGCCAGGCTTTGACTTCTCTTGAGCAGCTCAGCTGCTGAGTGGGCAGCTGAAGTGGACAAGGGAACCTCCTAGAGGGTGTGTGGGAAGGACAGCTGGGGTCAGGCATCCAAGGTAAGCCATCCCCTGTCATCCCTCCCAGCACTGGGAAGCAGCTGTTCAGATAAGTTTAGACAAGTAACTTAATACAAGTGAGACATAAATTGTGCTGTGAGCTTGCACCAAGCTCTCTCTGTTTGCACAGTGCTTTGCACAAACCATCACTGCTGCATTTGTTTAGAGAAGTGAAGCTGGGCTAAATATTTTTGTGAAATTGCTTTCTTAGCTTTAATCACCTGAAGGGATGAAGCAGGAATTTATGTACAGAATCAAATAAGAAAATATAAGAATACAAATGTCAAGAGTGGGAAATTTGTCTGGGAAACAGCAGGAAGGGGAGGGGGAACCTGTTTGGTGTGGGTACAAACCTGATTTGTTTGTAGATGTTTTTAATATGTTAAGTGCTGAAATAAATTAATATTTTTTTTCTTTTTAATTTGTAGCACAGTAGAACACAATAGCTTAGTTCATCTGTTTTCTTTGGGAATTTTTAATTTGTAGCACAGTAGAACACAATAGCTTAGTTAATCTATTATCTTTGGCAACTGTTCAGTTCAGGGAGGTGAAATAAATTCTGGTCTGTGCCTTGACTCTGTTACAGACCTGCTCAAACTGAGTAAACACTTGGGATATGTAAGGAGGGAAGGGGTAAAAAAGACAGGAAGCAGAGTTGTAATATATGTAAATGTTTGTGTGCTGTCTACTAGAGACAGCTGTAGACAGAAGTTTTTGGTGTTTATCACTCAACAGTAAGAGTTGTCAGTGAGTTTGTATTTAATAGTGAGCACATTGTGAATGCTACAGGTATTTCTATCCATGCAGCTTTTATTAACTGGTATGGACATGCTGATGTCAGCTGTAGTTTTTACCAGATTACATTGGGTAGAATCTATTGAATAATGTGATACCATGTAATTTTGGTTTTTATGTTTTTGGGAAGTGTGGTGTATTGAGGAGTCCAGGTAAAATACCTGGGGTGCTTTCAATACCAGCACCATATAAATGATGTTTGGGTTGCCAAAGCATCATGTTTGTCCCTGCCCTGTAAATGTTGGCATGAGTAAATCTTTCAGTGCTGCTCAGGTCAAATGCAAGTGCTATTGTTAGCACAAGCAAGGATTTTGTATGTGATTATAACGGGAGAAATGTTTCAGAGTGCATCAGCTGTTAAGTTGGCAATAGTTCTGATTGTCTGGGTTTCTCTCTTTTAGGATAACATCCTTACAGGATGTGCACCGTGCCCACCAGAGAGAGTATGAAAAATATATGGAGGATATTGAGAGCTCAAAGATGTCTGTCCAGGAGCTGGAGAAGTCTTCAGATGCAGCTCTGAATTACAAATTCTACAGGACCATGAAAACATACGTAGAAAACTTGATAAACTGTTTGAATGAAAAAGTATGTATATTTTCCTTTTTTTTTTTTTTTTTTTTTTTTTTTAAGATTATAAAGGTGTGTTCTATCAGTGAAAAATGAGAGATAACACCCAGTTAAAAATCAGTTCTATCAGAATCAAATTTAATTAAATTTAATTTTGTGTCACTTTGCAGTTTTGAATTTCTTCAGGTAACTCTAAAGAGAAGAAATGTTAGTTAGTGAATACTTTTTCAATGGCTAGTGCCTCAAAAGCAAACTGCAATAAAACAAGGGACACCAGTGGTGTCCTGGTGAGCCCTTTTGTATGAAGTCTTAGTCCTTGTAACTGGCATGTAGTTTGTGTTTTCATCCTTAAAAACTCCCATGACCAGGAACTTACTCATCAATCTATGATACTTCTGTTCAATTTTCACAACTATACAAGAAACCCATGGAAATTGGTTTTTGTTCATTCTTGTGAGCTTTAAATCAATTGAAAGCCTGGTTGGTGTTTGCTGTATTGCAGCTGAAGGACATTAATGAACTGGAATGGGCTGTGCATGCCCTTCTTCAGCAACGAGCCGTGAGAGTATCGAAGCGAAGGCAAGAGGAGCTGAAAAATGAATCTGCTTATATTCAGCATCTGACAAGTTAGTACAAAGTTCAGATTTTGAGCAGAAATACAGTTCATTTTTGGGTTAAGATTTTAATTTTCACTTCTGATCTCCTTTTCCCTTCCCGTTGCCAGTAGGCATGTTCTACTGTACCTCATTTGAAACTCTTACCTCAGTAATGCTCATGATTCTCTTTTTCTCTGGCTTAATTTCTCTGAATATGACATGACCTTGTCAATTTTTAATTGTTCAATTTCCCATCAGTATTTAAAAAGAAAAATGGGAGTCAGTTTTCCAGTAGGTCTCAAGTTGGAGAAAGCTTGCTTATTATTGAATTCTGTGAATATCTGAAAAAGCTGAGTGTATAATTGGCCACATCACTTTTAGCTGAGGGTGTCTGTAAGGCTGTGTGTGCCCAGATTGGAGATTTCAAACCAGGAGGTGACACCCATCTGGCAGAGCACAAAGAGAGAAGCTATTCTGTGTAAGGGTTTTATCTAAAAGAAAACTGTTTCAGTCACTGTGGGAAAAATTAGTACAGTTTTCTCAGCTCATATTTTCTTTCCTCACCAAGGTATTGTTTATATGCTGTGTGAATCTCTAGCTGCTGCTATTTAAAAAACCCAAACAAACCAGACCTCCAAAACCAAACCCTTTAAAACTGTTCAGGCAAAGCTGAGAGCAATCTGCTTGGAGCTGCTGGGAACAGATGGAGGGCAGATGCACTGGATCCTGGTAAATACTAAATCATATGGGTTCAGTCTTCTCACTTGATGGGATAAATTGCAGATGAGAGAAAGTAGCAGCCTGGATGGTTTTGTAATATGGGGTGGTAAACTGACAGCAGGTGTAAGGAGAAAAGGGGAATGCCATAGTAAGAGTTGCTATTAAAATAATTTTACCTCCAGCTCATTACAAATGAGACTGCACTTGCATGTTTATCAACACATAGCATTGTTTTTTATGTTCCTAGTTGTATTTAATATAGTGCAAAGGCTGTTTTTTCTTACATGATAGTACTTCAGTAGTCATACACCCTTTCTCTTTGGCAAATTTTGCACATCAGCCAGTTATTAGGGCTACAAGGAATTCACTCTGACTTACTATGGATAGAGGTTTGATTAGGTTTGTTCTTTTGTTGGCTATTTTCCAAATTTTAAAAAAAAACTAACAAAACAATAGAAGGATATTCTTTGTTTCCTGTTTGAAAATAAAACAGGAACTTTAAAAACATACCACTTTATTTTTGGCTGTTTCTGTCTTATAGGTGGGAATGACAAACCAGTGAAAAGCAAATCGGAAGGTGATGAGAAGACACAGGTTCTGGAAATGTGTGAGCATCGAAGGTAACTCTTATATAGAGGTGCACTTAACTCTGATAAATGTGCTGTGCACTGACTTCCTGTCATTCCTGCAGTCATGAATGTAAACCTGTAGGATTACTAAATGAGATTACACTAAAAATATTTCAGTATTTGCTTTCCAAAACTGGAAGGACATGGAAGCCATCTATGCATTAATGTAATTCTCTTCATTTTGATTTGAACTTGAATGCTAATAGAGCTGGATATTTTAAACTAAAAAGTCTTAAGTGAGGCAAAACTATGAAGGGAGCTTTTTTCTTCCTATTTTAATTAATAATATTATTAACTTTTACACAAATACATTTTTGTATTATGTATAAATAGCCAAATTAGGCAGAATTGTTTTTGCTGGAGAGGTGGTGGTGTGTGAAGCAAATCAACCTCTAGCCCCAGGTCTGCTATCAGTGTAGGTGAGACAGATGCTACATTTTGGATGTTACAGTGTTCAGAGATTGGTACCAATTTTTTTTTTTTTATATTATTGGGAGCTTTGAAAGTTTTATAGTTGCAGTGGTATCTCAAGTCATAACTACACTTTGAAGCAGCAAATTTTACTGGATGGAAAGTGGTATAATAATAACAACTTTCTCTCAAAGCAGTTAACTTTTAATGCTAGTTGATAGAATAACTGTTTAAAAGTATTTATGCACTATCACTTCCATATCATTTATCATTTTCCTGTGGTAGAAATTCAAGCCATTGATTTTGCAGCCTGTTTCTCTTGATGCCACAGCAATAGTTTTTAGAACCCCACTGGCACACGGGTGCTATCACCTTTTCCCTGTAGGTTGTTGAACAAGATCCAGGACTGGCAGGACAGTCTGAGAGCTCAGTAAATACACACTGAACTGTCAGACAGGATCCAGTTCAACACCAGATGCTCAGGTGGGATGAGTTGTTAGCCTCATCAGAGGTGATGAGGTGAAGGGAAGGTTATTGGATGGCTCATGGAGGAGGTCAGAGATGTTGCTCTAAGATCTTGGATGTCCATTCCCAAATCCCCTCCTTTTTCCACAGTTCAGGAGTTCTTTTGGTTCTGTAGTCACTGTCACTCCCCCATTGCCTCTCCTTAGGCTGTTGTTCTCATGACTTGTTTTAAGTACATTTTTTGAAGTTGGATTATTTTCTTTAAGCTTTCTCCTGCACACACAGGAGAGGATAACTCCTCTGAGTTCATTCCAAAATGCAGGGCTTGCAGGCGGCAGGCGAGGGAGCAGTCAGGAGAAGGAGATCACCACGAGGGCCTGTCGAGTGATGAGGAGCTGACTCCCACAGAGGTGGAAGAGTTCCAGAAGAGCAAAGGTTGGTGACAGTCCTAATGTGATGTCCTAGAACAAGATCTCTTGTTGGTATTTCTTCAATGATTTTCTTAAGGAAAAGTAGACGAATACTTCCTTTGAGTTCCATGCTTTTTTTTGCACACTGTAAAAAAAAAAAATGCACCCAAGCAGTTCTGACTAATGACTTGGGAGGAATGAATGAATGGTTCTAGATTTCTTGTGGTGTCAGTTATGTGGTGGCAGCACTATACATGGCTTTTTAAACTAGAGGCTAACTCTATCAAATTATGCCAAAGCTGATCTGGCAGTACTCAGTGCAGTGCTGCAACATGTTTTGTACACTCAATTTATTTCCTGAAGCTGGAGTGTGAATTAAAGGTTGTTTACACTGTTTTAAGTAAATGAGTGAATGGATGAAGAGGAGGAGGGAAAGGTAAAATAACTTTTCTTAAGATAACAGCAGAAGGGTTTCCATGCCTGAAATGTTATTGTTCTGGAACAAAGTTTGAAATACAGTGGTTCTATGAATCGGTGAGAAAGGTTCTGAACAAGCTTGCCTTTCCTTGTTGTTTTGACACTATTTTTCTATAAAACTGGGTTTTTATGGGAGCTGTTTTTAAACCATTTCAATGTCAGGTGTGTCAAAGATAAATAACAAATGCAATTCTCATAAGAATATCTCTTTATGTGCTATAGATGCATAAACCCTTCAGCTTATGCCTCAATAAGTTCTGTGATTGTTTCTTTTTATTCCCAATGAATATTATCCATAGATAACGTTTTAGAGGATAGTAGGAAAATCTTTGAAGATGTACATGCAGATTTTTGTGACATCAGAAAAATCCTGTTGAAATTCCAGGAATGGAAAGAGAAGTTTCCTGACTCTTACTGTGATGCTTACATCAGTTTCTGCCTGCCTAAGCTATTAAACCCGTTGATCAGAGTTCAGTTAATAAGTTGGAATCCTCTTGAGGTGGGTGCATCAGCTGACATTTTTGTTAAAAATTATGCATTTGTGTATGATGTATTAATATGAAAAATTATTTTTTTTCTATACATAGCACAGTGCATTAGAAATTAAAAAAGCTACTGTGTTGTCTCAAAAACTGAAGCATGTTGTGGAATATTCTTAATTTTCCCCTCTTCTTTTATCTCCGGTCCCTTTTGCCACACCTCCTGTAAAAACAGTTCTCCTGGGTTCTTTGAAGACACTTGAAAAATCCCACCCATTAAATTGTGGCTTTAAATCTAGTTTTCCTGTTTTGGCCCATTCAGTGATGAAGGTGGAGCTGAAATTAAGTAGGAATTTGGACAGAGATTTTCTGTTAATGCTGACCAGCTCAACAACTAACAGGAGTTATCTTTCAGCAGAATTTTACAGAGTTGGAAGAGATGCCCTGGTTCAGAGCTATAGGAGAATTCAGTGATGCAGAAAATGTATCTGAATCAAAAAGAGATGATGATCATGATAAAGAAGTTTTGCCTCGAGTGATTGAAAAAACTGTTCTTCCCAAAATTACAGGTATGATAAGAATGTATTGAAAATGTTCACTGCAGCTATGCAATCAAACCTTAAATAAAAATGATAATATCAAATAATGTTGGTGATACCACAGTGCTCCAAGATGTAATGATTGTATAGTTCCACAGAGTGGGGCTGAGGTGGCCTCTTCAAAATTATTGTGAGAGGCTGAGCTTTTTATATGTTTACTTCTGTTATATTGTAATGGCTTGAAAGTAGGGCAGATAAGTAACTTGAATATTATGAATGAAATAAATTCCTATTTTTTTCAGCATTTGTGAAGAGTGTGTGGGATCCTTTATCTACTTCACAGACAAAGAACCTTGTACAGCTTTGCAATAACATCTTTGGAAAACAAATCTTTTCCAAAAATGAGTCCAGCCGAGCAAGAGAGGTAAAAGCTGTGGTACCAAGAAATGAGAACTTCACCCACTGTGTGTACTTTGTTCTCAGTGCCCATAGGAGCACACACAATTCTCCTGAACCTGTTTGGTTCTGATTACTTCTCTGATTCTCTCTTTATTGAAGATGATGAGGCAGAAATTAGCTACTGTTAGTAGAAAAATTCTGCCTGTATCTATCCAAAATCTGTTTGTAGATCTAATCTTCCTTCACTGCAATAACAATGATTTGCATTTAATTGTCTTTCCAAATGTGAGCTTTATATGCTAGTAATGCTTCAGTGGTGTATCCCTTAAGCTTTTATTTATAAAGTAGGCCTAGAATTTTAAAACTTGAGAATCCCCAAAGGTTGGTTAATTGTTGAGGAGGAAAACTACTATGTAATCCTACCAATCCTTTAATAATTACTTTTATATACACAGTCAATCTAGGAAGCCCTTCTTAGCCTGATTCTGGGTTTATCTAGTGAAAATGGGATGGATTAAGTGGTGAAATGGGATGGATGTTTGGGCCCTGAGTATGAAAATAAATATTTTAAAGAAAATGTTTATGCCCTCCAAAGTTTGCTGTTTTGAAACTATTTCTTAAGTGATACAACTGATCTTAGCAAGAACTTATAATAAATAAATAGGCTTAAAAAAAAGGTAGGTGGCAATCTGTGGCACCTGAAAACATGTTGCTCAAAAATACATACTATCCTAGCTATGGTGATTGTTTTTTACATAGAATTTAACATCTTTTAGTGGAGATGCCCTATGTATAACTTGCTTTTGTTTTAATCTGTTCAGTTTTCTTGCTGCCTTGCAGATTAGTGTGCAAAAAAAGGCCTCACCTAAGGATATAGCTTAGGGATATAGCACAACTCTTTAGGCTAAGCCTGTAGATAATTACAGCTGTGATTTGTCTGCTGTTTCTATTTTTTATTCAGGGTCTCAATGTGTGTTATATACAAATGGCAGCTGCACTTATGTCTAAGATATCAGACCTCTGGATGAACTAAACAACCTTTGAGGTTGTTACAAACATGAAGTCTTTCTTCTGAGGACACATTAATCTTTTTTTTTAATAGGATTTGATGAACACGGTTGTCCTAAGAATGAAGAAGTCTGTAGAGGAAGATGTCTTTATTCCTCTGTATCCTAAAAGGTAAGCTAACCCTCTGACTCTCTTCATTTTGTATTTTTTTTAGTTCCTCTACCTTTCTCCCCTATAGATGCAGATGAAATACTGTAGACATCCATGTCTGAGAGATCAGATGTCTGTTTATCTTCTTTTAAAACCAACAAAACAAAATCTTTATTTTAACTTTTTCTTTCTCTTCCCATGACCAGCACTGTGGAAGACAAGTCATCACTACGTTCAAAATTTCAAGAAAGACGGTTTTGGTCAGCTGTTAAGGTAGAGAAGATAGATTTGTTCTGTTTGTCCTCTCTGAAATTAATTTCACTGGAAACATTAACATCCCAGACCATATTTCAGTTTTTCTGCTTTGCACGTTGGCTATCCTCCTCCTTGACTCAGAGCAGGCTACTTTTCAGGAAACTTAACCTTGTTTATTTTTACCTTCACAAACACAGCCTGACGCCACATTCAAAAATGACAGTTGGTAAGGATTTATAGAGGCAACAGAAAAAACCCTCAGTGCCTAATAATACTCATATGAACTGCAAAAAAATCTTTGTGATGCCAGGAACTGTAGCATCATCATGTCATGAGGGACTGTGTGTAGTCTTGTCCTGAGCAGTTGATGTAACTTTTTCACTTCTGTGTTTTCTTCTCTGAGTTCGCTTAGTTGCCTTTTGTACTTAGCAAATTGTTAAACCCTCTGGAAGTGAAAAATGTTCTTCCCACCCTTGGGAGGTCATGTATACACATATACAGGTGTATCTATACATAAGTATAGATGCACTTGTAAAATTAATTAGGTTATTTACTCTATGCAGTTATTAGGGCTAACTGACCAGAAGTTTGAAGAGTGTAAATCCTGGAGTTTGAGGACTTGCATTGCATGCACATACTACCTTCCTAGGTTTTTCTTTTATGAAACTTGTAACAGTTTTAGCACACTTACAGCCAGCAGCTCTACAGTTTCTTTGTTTCTTCATTACTGCAGCTGCTCTCCAATGTTGTTCTTTGGGATGGGATTGTCCAGGAAGACAAGGTCCGTGATCTGGGACTGAGCAAGTTGCTGAATCGTTACCTTCTCCTGAACATCCTAAACACACCACTAGGGCTGGACAATATCGAAAAGTGTAATAAGGTAAAAGATGGAAGAGGGGCTATGCTCAAAGCCTTTTGTTTTTCATGAAGAGGGGTCAAAACTGATGATGGAATATTTAAAAAAAAAAGAAAATGTAAACATTTAAAACTTGATTTTAATTTTTTCTTTTAACAGCCTTGCTGCATAAGAGGATTTTAGAGAAAATACTGGTCTGTAGGTTCTTAAGCATAACTACTTAGAGAGATAATGAATGTTGGTTTGAAGGAAAAAGCAGAGTAAAAATGACTGAACCTGCCGGAAGGTTCCTGTCAGAAATGATGTGACTTGGTTATATTGGAATGCTTGTTAAACTTTTGCCAAATATTGTGTAAACAGGTGGTTGCATGCCTCCCAGAAAGATGGTTCCAGGATCTCAAGGGTGGATCAACTCTCCCTGAATTACTGAACTTCAGCCAGCACTTGCTGCAGTGTGCCCGTGTGCTACACAAGGACAACCACAGGTAATGGATGAGGCTGTCCTTGAGATTCAAGTGCTTCCCCAAATAGTTTGTGTTGAAATTTTAAAAAATTCCTTAAATACCATAAATGTGCTACTTTAAAGTATGCTCATGTTATGTATATGTATATAGATCAAAACAAAAAGATGGAGTGTAATGTGAAGGAGCACTTGAGCAGTCCTTGTTCACTGTGAGAGTCTGAGGTGGTTGATGTTGGGTGCTGTTAATGCAGCACTATCAGAGTAACCGAGGTCAGGAAACAAAAATTATAGTTTAGACATGTCAATAAAAGTGCTGCTAGATTTTTATAATTTTTTTTATTCTTAAATAGTGATGAAACAAAAGAAGTTCTTCTCCTGCTGGTGAAAATTGGAGCTTTGCACATTGTAGAAGACTTCATTGAAGAGCATAAGCTTGAACACCTTAAAGCAATGATTGGGAAATAGAAACCTTTGAAGGAATGCTTACATTACTGAAACAAGCCTGGTATTCACATTAAACCAGTTCTAATATGCAATTTAATTAGTGAATCCTGCCTACTCAGAGGAAGTGGTAATCACTATCTTGGTGTTAAATACAGGAGGTATTTTTTCAAAATGTCCTTTATTGCCATCTACTCCTAGATTATTTAGAGTATTTAGATTAGATTATATAGAGTATTTAGACTAGATTATATAGAGTATTTAGAAGTCGCAGTTGTCAAAGCAATGGTTCAGGCATTCTGAAATGTGTGGCAGTGCATCACTGCTGTATCCTTCTTGGAAGGAATCCTGCAAACAGAAAGTACCTGTGAACTTCATCACTGCTAGCCAGTAGACAACGTTGACAGGTTATTTTCAGTATTAATTGCCAAATACCATTCAGACTCAGCAGTCACTGAGCTCTTCTGACTTGTGGTCCACAGTGATTTTTGGCAGGGTTATTGTTAAGCCATTCCTAGTGAAAAGGATTCATGATGCCCCTGATACAGAAACAAGGGGGGTCGGTGTGCAGGTAAGGAATCAGGATTTTCATCACAGACATTGTGATGATGAGAAGAACAGAACAACTTCAGTTTCTTTCTAGTAACTGGAGTTCTAGAAATCTCCCTTTGCTTCTCAGTAAGTTCTACAAAACTTTACTTCTTCATATTCTTATTAAGATATTATTTCAAATGTTTTGTAATTTTGTATATTTGCAATAAATATTGTTACAGAATAACAGGGATGTTTCATTGTAAAAACTGTAATGCATCACAGAATCTATATGTTTGTGACTATTTCTCCAAAATCTTCTGGGAATAGAATTTAACTCTTGTAGACTTAATCCTTATGCTTTCTTTTTATATTTTTTGTAAATTAAAAATATATTTTTGTAAAATATTTTAATTGTAAATAGGTTCAATCAGTATTACAGACAAAAGATTAAAAATAATTTTTTTTTTAAATAAAATATTTTACTGTGGTAATGACTCTTACAGCTCAATTCTTTAATGTGTGACAGAATGTTATTAATATATGTGAAAAAATAGCCCCTCCAGCTCCACTAACTTACAGCAGCTTCAGGATTTCTAATAATCAGTTTAGCTCTGCTGTTTTTCCTCTTAGAATGCCAACAAAAATGCAACTGCTGATCAGCAATCACCACAAGCTCATGATCTCATTGCTTTTCTCTTGTTCTGCTTTGCCTCATCCCAGCTTGTCTCTAGCCCCAGCCTTGTGCTATGACAAAAATGTAATTGATGTTCTGTCACAATTTAGCTCTGTAGATGTTTGTTTCTGGAAGAAAGATTCCTTGTAATGACTTGTAGGCGTTGAGAGGACAGTGGACACTTGAGCCACAGAAATCTGTTCATGCTGAAATTTGGAAAGATGAACTTTATTGTTGCTTTGCCCATGTATTTACAAAACTTGACAACTGATCATCCATACAGTAAACTAAAAATATTAATTTTCTCAGGAATTCTAGACTGCAAAAAACATTATTATTTTTCAAGTTCTTCACTCAGTTCTTTCCGAATCTTTTCCTCTATTTTTGAAGTATCATATTCTCTCAGCATGTCAAACTCCAGCCATGGCTGGCTCCACTTCTGTGCTGCTTGCATTTTATGTTCTGGTAGCTCAAACTTGATTCCTTTTATATTGTATTTGGGTCTTTCCCACCGTTTTGACCATGGTTTAGGTTTCATTCGTACCTGCACCTAGAGTGAAAGATTAAAAAATTTTTAAAAACCCAAAACAATAAAAAGGTATTAAGGAATTAGATTTTTCATTCTGATCTTAGCAAAAAGTGACAATGGTTGCTGTAACAAGAGGAAAGTAAGAGAAAACTGACCAATCTGTCATTGTGTTGTTTAGTAACTACTACGATACTATAATTGTTATTGTAGTATCTTGTAAAACTTTTTAATTAACTCTGTGTTGATTTATCAAAGAGTTCTTAATTGAAATATAAATTGAAGCTAACTCATCTTTTGTAGTTTTGCTCCTTATTAAGAAAAAAATAAAAGCACGAGAGGAAAAGGGTAGAATGATACTGAATTTCTACACAACACTCTGGCAGGGTCTGATGGTTTCTGGATCTTCCCTGAGATGCAGATTTTAGGTGACTCTTCCATCTTTCTTACCTTGTTTCCTGACACCAACCACTCCTGAATCAGTAACTACATTAACAGTAACATTCCTGTAAGAAAAGCTTTCCCTTCTGCACAGTTCTGCAGAGGAATGTGAAGACTGTTCCTCTTTGCATGTCTTCAAAATGAACTCCAGAGGATGGTAGAGGTTTACATTCTCACCATTCTTTCACTACAGAAATGGCACAAAGACTTGCCTCATTTTATCTACTTTTGTCGCCCTGGTAACTGATACAGCAAAGAGCTGCTCCAGCCTGCCAGGATAACAGTCATAAATGGAAGCTGTAAATAATCCTGTGCTTTCCCTCTGAAACACGTGGCTCCTACCTTGTTCACAGGAATTTCCTCGTGCTCCATACGAGGCACAGGTTTCATATTGACATCGAAGGTGCTGTACTCGGGGAGGGCATCCCGCAGGTACATCAGGTTCTCATCCAGCCTCTTCTCCAGCTTCAGCACCTCGATCGCCTGGATTCGAGGACTGTACAGTTCATAACAGATTTCAACCCCTTAGAGACAGAAAGCCTGGTTTGATGAACCAAATTCAGGAGAAATACCAACACCCAAGCAGCTTTACTTCAGTTACACGTTCCTGTATCATTGCAAAGTGCTTTTTAGTCCTCAGAGCACTACGGTGCTGTGTGCACTTGTGATTGTACTCATGCACTGTGCACATTTCTTTGTAAATCACATCTTGGAAGTATTCTGTATAAGAGACTTCAATGGCTCGAATTTAAGGAAGATGAGCTTGGATTTTAAACTTTTATTTCCTTTTGGTTACAATGGCTGTTAATTATGCATCTCAGTGTAGGTGTAGTGTGTGTGAAGAGACACTCACCCCTTTCATATTTGCCCTGAGAACTCCATTACTTGCACTGCCCTGATTTTGTCATAACCCAGAATATGAACCTGTGATAAAACTCTTCTAATCTGCTGCTTGTTAAAACAGTTCACACCTACAACCCCAGTTCATGGAAACACAGTGTTCAAACTGGGCAGGTGTTCACATGGCAGTAGACAGCCCAGGCTCAGACACAAGCACAACCATCACAATGTCTAAAAATTACTGTGCAGTAATTACCATGCCTTCAAGTACAGAGCACATCAGCATTTCTGGGTACACAGTTTTAAACTTGCACAGTACTCTAACAGGCAGACTCACACTTTCACTTCGATCTGCTGTCTTCTCCCCACAGACTAAATTTCTACAACATAACACATATTTTGCTGAACATTTGCAGCATAATTACCACAGCTGAAGCCCCACCTTGGTCTTCTATGACATTCCGAAGGACAAAGGTAGCGCCGAGTCCTTTGCCTCCCCTCTGAATGCAGATCCCAACAAACCGGCTGGATTTGTCACTGGCGAGGGGATTCGCAGTCGTCACGGCGAGAATGCTGCCTGCCAGAAAAATGGATTCAAATCCCAAATCAAATTCAAGCCTGTCCCAGTTAATGTGTGCCAAAATGTGGGAAGAATCAGGCAAAGTGCATCTATTCAGGTGCTTTTTGAAAATACTTTTCCTTCCCATCAAAACTGCCAGAAACAGAAAAAACTGCTACCATGACATGAATTAATATAGGTCAAAGTGATACTGCAGGTTAACTGCAAACTTTCTTCACCTTTATTTTTCTGCTCTTCCCCGTCCAAACTGAATACAATTAATCTAATGTATTTTTTTTCTTTAGCTCTACTGGTAAACCATATGCTCAAGTGCCAGGATTGAAAAATACCCACGTATGGAACACATTAGGATTACTCTTTTAATGAATCAGGATGTAAATGTGAGATTAAAATACAAAGTATTACATATAGAAACAATCCTAGTTGGTCAAACACACCTGAGACTTTATGTTTTATGCTATTCTACATATGATCACACTTTCTAACACCCCACACAATGTAAAATACTGCCAGAATTATGGAAGTTTTAGTGCTGACACTGACCAACATAGAATTCTGGGATGTTGAACACTTTTCTTCTCTGTATCATATCCTTTCTTTCTAAGTAGTATTTAAGAGGATCTTTTCTCCCTCTGGGAGGTATAAATTCAGGGCTCAGGAACCTGCAAGAAAAGCCAAACTTTTAGAAGTATGAAACAAAAGCATTTGCATAAAAAATATGAGACAATTCCAAGTATTTAGCCTAAGAATTACCAGCTGTTGCCTTTTCAGAGGTATGAACTGCAGTCTGTGAGGTCACCAATTTTATTTATTGGTTTTTGTTATCTAAAAGGAATTTTTGTGGGGTTTTGATACTGGTTTTGGGCTTTTATGTGGCTTTTTTGTTGTTGTTTTTTTTTTTTCTTGTTGTTCTTTTAAGAAGATTTTTTCCCAAACCAGTAATACATGTTGGTCTCAGAGGAGCTGACTGAAAGAGGCCAGTTCAATTAGTGCTGTCACAGCTTAGAAACAGGTTATTTCATGGTTTAATTGTAACCCCCATGACAGAACACTTACTATTTGTTAACCTTAATAACAGATATGGAATAATCTATTACATTTTTCACAAATTGATTCTACAGGACACACCACATAAATGTCCTTTGGTGTTATGGAAGCTTAAATAGACTGGTAAAACAATGTTTTTTGCTACAAAAAAATTAAACCATGCCAAAGAATTTCCCCACGGCCTGGACCTCAGTTATTGACTGCTGAGCTGAGTGCATACTTCCTGACATGGATTGGCTTGAGCTGAGAACCATTTCCAACAGATATTTGGATGTGCTCACTCAGGTTTGGATGGCAAGACCACCTGCCCTGAGAGCAGATGGATGAAGGTGAACTCAATTCAGTTGTACACATGCATCTTAAAAATCCTGGATCTGGCCAGGAGTGAAGTGCCCAACAGAGAAGAGGACAAATGCAAATCTGCCCTACAAACTTTATGGGGCTGTGGGGGCAGCAGAATTTTGGCTGGTGCTGCTGCTCACACACAGCCCCACAGGCAGCAAACAACACCAAACCTACTCATGATCTCCAAAGCGAGGTTTTTGGAGGGGGCAGATGAACAGTACAGTGCCACCACTCTTCTTTCAGACACAGCACTGCATTTTGAACCACTGGGTCATTTAAAGCAGTGCAAATTTGGTTTAAAACCCAGGGAGGTTGTGGATGGCCCAGTCCTGGAAATGTTCATGAACAGGCTGGGTGGGACTTGGAGCAAGCTGCTCTAGTGGGAGATGGAATGACGGAAATGTTCATGAACAGGCTGGGTGGGACTTGGAGCAAACTGCTCTAGTGGGAGATGGAATGAGATGATCTTTAGCTCCCTTCCAACCCAAACCATTCTGTGATTCCATGAAATGGGTTGAGGTGACATCAAAACCACCCAGAATGAGACATCTCATGAAGGCTACCAGAGACATCAGGTCCATATCACAAGCAGCGATGCACAACCAGCCTTGCAAAAGGCAGACACAGGACCTGTGTCCCTGTCACACAGAGATGCCTTTAACAGGCATAATCTCCCACATTATTCCCAAATTTGCAACAGTATTTACTGCTTTACTTTTTTTTCCCCCCCCACGTTTCATTCCTTTCAGAAACTCCAGAAACAGTATTTTAAAGTGTTTTGAACATATTCCAACACAAGCGGTCTTTGCTACACTTTTACAAACTGTGTTGGGGTTTTGTTTGTTGTCTAGCAAAGCCCTGACTCTTTAAGTGGCGCTCCCACAGCGAGCAGCCCGAGCACGGGCAGGCCAGGCTCCAGCAGCCCAGGCGGGCAGTGCGGCACCCTCACCTGCTCTTCTCCTTCTGCGTCTTCCTGTCGATAATGACGGGCTTCGGAGGCGGCTGGAATTTCGGTGGCTTTCCATCGCTGCTCACTCGACACCCCGACAAAGAAAAACACCCTGTAAAATACAAAACAACGTTTGAAACACCCGTGATTTCAAGTCTGGCCTCTCCCCACCAAGGCAGGGCATGGCACCACAACCCGCCCGACAGGCCAGGAGCCTCCTCCCCTCCGCTCTGTGGGCCAGGGAGGGCAGGAGGAGGGCGCCGGGCAGGGGGAGGCCCGGGGGAGGCTCGGGGGTGAGGATGAGGGCCAGGGCGGTGCTCACGGCCGGGCAGGGCGATGGCAGCGCCCC